CTTTGCATTTACTTCTAGTACCCATTTTAATCACTTCTACATAGGCATACAAAAAACAAGAAGAATCAAACAAACCAAGTGGGTCACATGAGTCCGTCGTGCCAGTGTGTGATAAGAGTGCCAGGGCTATGAATCTCATGAACTCGTTATTGTTCGCGATGAAAGGGGTCTGCGCGGTAGGTTGTCACGTCTTGCGCGCTCAAGGAAAGATTCCACAAGGTCGAAGGTCTAAAACCCATTCTAGTGGAAGGACAGCCTAACCCAGAATAAAATTTGTACCGAGGGTATAGGCTCGCTTCAAGGTCCCCGGCCTCAACGGAGGTTCCGACACGACCCTCTTTCAATCTCTCCCCCTCTGCACTTCAGTGTTTTAGCAAACAAAAATGTAAGCTTCACATGCACGAGAGGGAGGCACCGAAGACGTAAGAGAAGAACGATCTTTGTTCCAGCTTCTGCAGCGGTTTTCCTTTTCCACTGCTGTTTCTGCACATTTCGTGTACACAAATTATGTATAGCAAGAATACTGGGTTATGGGAAAACATTTTATCCCACGTGAGAATCACACTTACATTTCTTGCTCTCTGAGCTATTGTGCTAACATCACACATCAGGGTGTTTGGTGTGACCGGTAATACAGTCGATATACGGAAGTTGGGGTAGCCTTGTCACCGGAAGTGACGTGCACTTGATAGAAATTGCGTGGATAGCATGATTTGCTGATATCCAGCGATATACAGGGGGGGGGGGCAAAAAAGAGTCACTCCTACTCACATTCAAAACAGAATTAATTACACTTTGCCAAAACCAAACCGAATGAGCTCAATTGCATATTGAAGAGCACATTCTATTCTATCAAAAAATTACATAGGGCCTTCTACACCGACGACATCAGAAGATTTTCCCACGGAAACATGGTTCACGGTACGAGCTCAACGGGGTCGTCGAGAAACCATAGACGATTACGACGTCTCTGAAACGCTGGTCAAAAGCCATCTTGCATAGTCACAGCTAGTGTCTCTAAGAAGTCAT